GTGTGTGCCTGATGAAGGAAGTGGTGTGGGCACTCATGTGTGAGTGTGTGTGTGCCCAGTGGGGAAGTGATGTGGGCACACATGTGTGAGTGTGTGTGTGCCCAGTGGGGAAGTGGTATGGGCACTCATGTGTGAGTGTGTGTGTGCCCGGTGGGGGAAGTAGTGTGAACACACATGTGTGAGTGTGTGTGTGCCTGGTGGGGGAAGTGGTGTGGGCACACATGTGTGAGTGTGTATGTGCCCGGTGGGGAAGTGGTGTGGGCACACACACGTGTGCAGCTGGAGGACAGAGGACAATGTCAAGTGTCATCTTCTGGAACACTGCTCACCCCCTTGACCTTGAGGTAGGGTCTCCCATTGGTCTAGACTCACCAGGGAGACCAGGCTAGCTGGTCGGTGAACCACAGGGAGCCTCTGTCTCTGCCACTCCAGGGCTGAGATCACAAGCAAATGCCACCATGGCCAGCATGGGCCTAGAACATGGCTTCTAGGAATCAAACCCAGGTCTCACACCTGTAAGGCAAGTTCTTTACTGACTGAGATCTCTCCAGCTCAACCATACCTTTATTCTATACCCCCCTTTCATCTAGCCACTGGCTGTAAACTATAATGAATTCCTTCTACACCAGTGAGAATCTTGCATTTTGCTTTGGCTAATTGTTACAAGCTACAGCCAGATTCCCTAACACTATTTCTTCCTGTTGCAAAAGTATACACCTGCCCAAATGGAAATATATATACATATCTAAGGATGCTTTGCCTGAGGCAAAAATGTATAGAGTCAATGTGTGGTGGTATATGCCTTTAATCCCCACACTCATGAGGCAGAGGAAAGCAGATTTCTGTGAATTCCAGGCCAAACAGGTCTACAGAGTGAGTTTCAGGACAGCCAGGACTATCACACAGAGAAATCCTGTCTGAAAAAAACAAAACAAATAGAATCAATGCCAAGCATCGGTTCTTAGGAAGGTATCTCATAAAAAACAGCCTACAATTCTTTACTAAATCATCAAAATGCTCTTGGTTCTTAATATATATATATATATATATATATATATATATATATATATATATATATATATATCTTAAAGTTATTGAAGCTAAATTCCTATTTTGAAGAGAAATTTGGATAAAAATAATGGTGTGTTTACTTGAAAAATGTCAATGGCATGAAAGGTAAAGAGAATCTAAAAACTACTCACAATTTCCTATGAAATTAAAAGACACAGATGGGACATGACAATTGAATGCTCCACATGATTCTGAGCTGTATCATGTATTTGTGGAAGAAAACATTTTGTAGAAGATGGCAAAATTAGAATATAATGCACCAAGATGATCAATCTACAAGAAAGATGCTTGCCACCAAGCTGGAACTGAGTTCAATCAACGTGGGTTGGAGGGAGAGAACTGACCCTTGCTAGTTGTCCTGTGACTTCCATTCATTCATCATGGTACACGAGTACATGCATGTGCAATACATACAACAGGAGGGAAGAAGAAAGGGAGGGAGGGAGGGAGGGA